GGACTTCTATTCAAAATTTGTGTTACATGTGTCTAACGGCTCATTTCATTGATGATAATTGGAAACTACAAAAAAGAATCATAAACTTCCAACAAGTTGAAGATCACAAGGGGGAAACTTTGGGTAGAAAAATTGAGTTGTGCTTGCTTGAATAGAACATCGATAGTATCTTCACTGTTACTGTTGATAATGCTAGTTCCAACAATCTTACCATTCAATACTTGAGAAGGAATACCAAAGATTGGAAGGGGACCATTTTGGAGCATGAGTTTTTGCATATGCGGTGTTATGCACATATTCTAAACCTTGTTGTGAGTGATGGATTGAAGGAAATAGATGATTCTATTGCAAATATTAGACTTGCGGTTAGGTATGTGAGGTCTTCTCCTAATCGGCAAGATGCTTTTAAGAAGTGTGCGGCCTATCTAAAACTTGTGACTACTGCTCTTGTATGCCTAGATGTACCAACAAGGTGGAATTCCACATATTTAATGTTGGAGGCCGCTGAAAAGTTTGAGAAGGCTTTTAACCGTTTGAAATGTGAAGACTCCAATTTTGAAACTTACTTCAAGAATGTTGATGGTGGGATTAGGAGGATTCCAAATGAGGAGGATTGGAAAAAATGTAGGTTGTTTGTGAGATTTTTAAAACTATTCTACCTTGCAACAAAGAAATTGTCTGGGTCCCTTTTTGTTACTTCCAATGCATTTTATAAAGAGATGTTTAAAATTGAAAATACAATTAATCAATTAATTTTGGAGAATGATGATGTTTTGTGCACAATGGCTATGAGTATGAAGCAAAAGTTCAACAAATATTGGGGGGATGGAAATAAGATTAATTTGTTGTTGTATGTTGCTGTTGCTCTTGATCCTACAAAAAAGATAGCATACTTGGAGTTTTGTTTTACAAATATATTTCATGGAGATAAGAGGAAGGTGGATGAGATGGTGAACAAAATTATTTCTTGTTTGACTCGTTTGTACAACCATTATGCCACAATTTATTCATCAAATGAGAGTGTCTCGAGGTGATTGAAGTGGAGACAATGGTGATTGATGAGGATGATTTGGATTCTCAAATGGAGTCCCAATTTAATTCATATTTGGAAGGGCGCTTCGCTAGTAGAAGCAAGTCGGAATTAGACAAGTACTTGGGCGAGGTTGAACATTTTGCAAAAAATCAGACATTTGAGATATTGGAATATTGGAAGAATAATGCAACAAAGTATAGAGTGTTATCTCAAATAGCAAAGGATGTGTTGGCCATGCCCATTTCTACCGTTGCTTCGGAGTCTGCTTTCAGTACCGGGGGACGTATCCTTGATCCATTCCGTAGTTCACTTGCCCCTTCCATGGTTGAAGCTCTTGTATGCACACAAAATTGGCTTAAAAGCAACCTTCTAATTTCTCTTTGAAAAGCAATGGATGATGTGGAGGAATTTGAGCAATACGACTCTGGTAATATGTGAATATCTCTTCATTTTTAATTCTATTATTATTTTTACTATGCAAGTTTATTTATCTTCTCTTGTTGACTCATGCTTTTAGGTACTTTGGAGCCATGTTCATCTTCAACCCCAAAGTCTAATGTAGATGCTATAATTGAACTTTAATGTTCATTTGGCTCATGTGTAAGATTTTTCTAATTAGTTGAGATCAGATTAATGTTTATTTATTTATATCTATTTATTTATATTTATTCATTTGGCTTATTGAAATTTTTTTTGGCAGATTGTTGGATGAGATTGGACATTGGACATTGGACCTAAAGAGTTTAGTGAAGCTTTGGATACCACCTTTTGAAATTATTTTGGATGAAGTTTGTAGACAATGTTATTTTAGTTTGTAACTAATTTTTATTATTATTTTTTTTATTTTGGATGAATGTAAAATTTATTGGAGCACTAAATTTTAGGTAAGCTTTAGATTTTGGATGGATGGATGGATGAAAACTAATTTATTTTAGTTTCTAATTAGTTATTATTATTATTTTTGCATTTTGGATTAATAGGTAAGTTTTGGATTATGGATGGATGGAGATAACTAGTTATTATTATTATTTTTACATTTTGGATGAATGTAAAATTTAGGTAAACTTTGGATTATGGATGGATGGAGATAACTAGTTATTATTATTATTTTTGCATTTTGGATGAATGTAAAATTTAGGTAAGCTTTGGATTATGGATGGATGGAGATTGATTTTAGTGTGAATTTTAATGTTGTTTTAGTTTGTAATTAGTTTTATCAATTATTTTTGTATTTTGGAAGAATGTAAAATTTATTATATCATTATATGGGCATTTATGTTATAATGAAATTTAATTTATAACTTTTCCATAAATAAAAAAAAAAAAAAAAAAGTGCTTAAAAAGTAGCCCAACATGTCAAATTTGTTCAAATTAATATCATAACTAAGCCCAATTAAAAAAAAAGCCCAAACCGCAAACCGAACCACACCCGCCCGCACAACTGACTGACCCACCCGCACAAACCGCGAACCGCACCGCGGGCGGTTGCGGGTCTGTTTTCTTCAACCTGCATGTGTGCGGGTCGGGACGGTTTTGACCCGTACCCGGCCAAAACCGACCTACGACCAGCCCTAGTGGGTAAGCTCTGATCAGAAGATGTTCCAGACCTGTGTATGGTGGCGTAGCTTCGTTTATATAGTTCCTATGCGCGCTTCTACTTCCATTCCCCTCTGGACGCGTGGAACTACTCTCCTCTTACGTTCTCTCATGTGTCAGCGCTAATAAAGCTAAACACTAAATGACGAAACCGCCAAACGGTATTGACGCGTACAGACAGCGGAATCTTCTTCCTGCAGTCTCGTCACGCCGTATAATACTTCCCACCGAGCTATGCTTAGTGTAGCGCCACGCCATCACCTTATGACCGTGCTACTTGTCCAGTCTCATCGATAATTCTTGATCGTGGACTCAACCGAGCTCCACAGTCACGACCGAGCTCCTGTTCAATCGCATCTGGTCTTTCGAGGACAAACTCTATCCGACTCGCACGGCGCACATTTTCGAGCTGCACTAGTACCTCAAACTCACTTCACAGGACTGGGCTGATATCCCGTCCCAATACGTGCCACGCGCCTAACCTTGCTCAAAACTCGCTCGATCGTGAGGGTTGTTTCTTCCGAGCGTGGACTCGACCGGACTACGTCTTCGATCCTGCATGCTCCCGATATTTGACGGAGTAAAGACCCAGACTCCGACCCAAACTAGCTCGGCCCATTATCAAGTCATAAATCTCCCTCTTAACATGTAAAGAGATGTATTCACAATTTTTCCTTATAATTATGTACAATCTTAGAAAGAATGAAAGTTTGACTCAACCTATATATTATGTATATAATATCTATATACATGTACTTATTACATATATACCATCTTTTATCTTATTTAACTTTGTTATTAGAGATGAAAAATACTTTATAAATGGATTAGATAAAACATTTGAACTCGTAACCTTTGTATACTTCTATCTTATGACAAAATATCATAATTATTAAACTAGCAACATCATTTTATATTTAAGTTATGATATACATATTATTATATATTTTTATTAGTTAATGGACTACATGGCGGGTTTATAATTAGTCGTTTTATTTTTTATACATATATATTTTTTGCATTTAGGAATTTAATTTTAAATTTTTATTTTTTTTTTTTTACCGGCAAAGAGAATTTTATTGATAATAATCAAAATAAAGGATTACACATCAATAAAAGCATGGAAAAAAAAATTGTATTATGGTTGAACAATAATATCCGAACGAAGTTGACACCTTGAAGACAACACAATCATATGCACCTTCATGAAATAAGCTACACAGCGGATTGTTTTAAAAAAAAATTACCACTGTTTTATGTAAAATGTAATGTGACTCAAAATGGGTTAAACGCTAACTTTTAGCTTTTTATACATGTTGCCAAACTAAGGCCAAAACACCTAACTGTAGTGGATCAAACAAAAAGAACCCAAAACAGATCCACACACCGAAACGTCATCAACACCCAGCAATCTTTTTGGTCTTCAAAATCCTTACCACCTCGATATGCTGCACAAAATCAATGATAGAAAAGCCAGTAAAACTTGAGTTAACCGAACACCAATGAGCCAAGAGCACTTTAATTTCATCAACCAAAGGAGCCCAACATTGTTGATTATGGTTAAATTCACTGCATCATTCCTAGATAGCCAAATCTTCCAACATACCCCTGCAAATATGGGTTCCCAAATAATTCTTTTAAAACCTCTAAGCTTTGAGTGTAACCACCAACACACTAGAGAGGATAATGACACAGGACAAACCCAAGAAATACCCTACCACTTGAGAATTGCATACCAAATCAGCCATGATCGCCGCAATGCAAAAGAATGCGGTCCCCAGATTCATTTTCGAACCCACAAAACACACAAAATCTATCAGCCCCTACAGGCAGAATCAAGTCTAAGTCTTGGGAATTTAATTTACACTCGAGTCTAAGTTGAATTTGGCATTTTTGTATGTTTAGTATTTTCCTACAACTTTCTTTCTATCAAGTTAAAGAGTAATTTTATATAAACAAAAAATGAGTGAAGAATAATTAGTCTTAATGTAAATCTGTCATTTTAAAATAATGAGTAAGTGAAAATAATGTTTAATTATAGATAACCCCTTACATCATTTAATGATCCGGAAAGAATCACCTTAATTGTTAAAATGATTTTTTTTTTTAAATTTTAAATAAAAATAAATTTACGTTACTATTTTAGAACTATTGAATAATGTAATGAAAATCTTACATTACAATTATGTATTGGAACCGATTTCAAAGATAAATTGTGTAAAAAATAAAAATTATCATACAAAAATTCCTGCATTTCATGCGCAAATTAGGAAATGTAAAATCCATGCACTGCAGGATCATGTTGATACACACATATGCATAAGCATAACCAATCCAAAACTTTTCTTCACTGCGTCAACAAGAAGGAGAGAAGATAAAGAGTCCTTTTTCGATCTCTAAATAAATTCGGAAATCGCTTAAGAGTTTTTACAGCAAATGCTTACATTTTGATGGGAAGGGCTTCGCTTCATGGACTTACCACCACCAGTACCTCTACTAGGCTTCTTGTTTGTATTATTGTTGTTGTTATTATTATTCTTATTATTAGCACCACATTTGATGCTGAATTCAATCCCGTACACAAAGCATGAAAACAGGCCTCCATCAGAGTGCCGCCGTGAATGGTTGCTGTCGTCCCTGTTGGAATAATGGTCCACCGTCCCTGGAAACTCTGTCCGCCATCTTGCCACCTTTGATTTGTACCCTTTGGCCTTAGCCTCTTCAATTGTCAAATCCTCTAATATGGAGGAGCTTTCTCCATCCTCTACTTCGCCTCCTCCTCTTGAAATCATCCTTTTTTCCTCTGTTGTTGTTGTTGTTGTTGTTGGCGATGGATACAACCCCTTTGCAATTGCTGCAGCTACAACTGACGCTGATGGTCCCACGTCCGAGCAAAGCTCTGATCCGTTCCCGTTCACCGCTGATCCGTTGTATACAGACCCATTTATCATCGAACCAATGCATAGAGAACCATCTTTAGAAGAAGGAGGGAAATCGTCAGAGTTGATATTGTCTTCAGATTTGTCACTCCGCGAGCGCCAAAGTTGTATCTTTGCATTTAATCGTTCTTTCTCTTCTTGTGTTGCTCCTTCTGCTTCTCCATTGGCAGCGGCAGAGGGACTAGGATCTGAATACATAGGAATGCATCGCATGGTGTTATCAACAAGCGAAACACCCATGTTAAGAATCCCTTGTGGATTACCTGAAGCACGACGAACCTGAAGCGCCACAAATCGGGTGCTAATGAAATTGTTTTTTTTTCTTGAAGATGGAGGGATGAGATTGTTTATGAGAACTCGTACGGTTCCAACGAGGTTGTGACGGAACCAGGAGGCAGTGTAAATCTCGACCATGACTGATGAGGCGTCGGAGCTCAGGAACTCGTCGTCCACACAGAACACAAACTTGTCGTTCCAGGTAGGGTTGGCATGGCCGTGGTTGTCAACGCGCGTGGTTAACTTGCGGTCCTGGTGAACCCATACCACTGCGTAGGTTCGCATTGATTTGGAGATGGGTGCAAGGTCTTGGGCGGATATGATAGTGATTTCCAGGACTTGGATTGCCGCTTGCTGGGGAATTGAGGTGGAGGTGGTGGTGGAGGTGGAGGTGGTCGTGGTGGTGGTAATGGTGGAATTGGTGGTGGAGGTGAAGTTGGTGGAGGAGTTGGCGGCGGTGGTGGTGGTGGAGGAAGGGGTCTTGGTTCCCATAGCAGCCGATTAATCAGGAGAATGAATGACTTGAAGAAGATAAATGATAGAGAGACTTGAGGTGGTAAGAAAATTAATATGAGAAATTACAATTATGAGAAATTATTCTGTTTTTTAATAATTTTAATTAGACTGTGTGTTGTTTTAATTTTTTTTAAATTATTTTAAATAATATATAACCGAAAACATAAAAAATAAAAAATATATAATCAATAAAATTACAGAAATATTAGATATCATGAAAAGTCTTTCATAAAAATAATCGTGAAAAATTTGTGATATTTGAATTACACATAGAATAAAACACTACACATTAATCAAAGTAATTTAAAAATCACAAATCTTTTATAATTATTTTCATAAAAAAAATTACTTAATCCCTAATATTTCCCATCAAACTATAAAAATATACCACCTAGAATATGCAGCAGACGTTTTCAATTGTCGATACGTTGGGTCTCGTTGATCCTGGCGTGATTGCGTGCTTCCAGGAATGGCGGTTATGGATGATAGTTTTGGACCACTGACTCCCCCTTTGTTGACTTTTGACAGCAAATTATAAATAATTATAGTATATTATTTTCAATTAAAAAACTTTTGACATCCAAAATTTTTATTGGTTTAGGAATAAATTATTTAACTATTTTTTTAGTTTTTAAATTAAAATATGATTTAAAAAAAATTAGGAATTAATATATTTATAATATTTTTAATTTTTTATGAAAAATTTACAAATAGTACAGAGAAAAATAAAATTTTGATTTTTTTTTTGGTGTGTATAATCTTTGACTTTTTTATTTTTTATTTTTTAGTATTTTTTTTTGACTATTATCTAAAAGAAAAATTGCATATCAGTGATAAGACGAAAAAGAAATTACAATATTATGAAAAAATTATCCCTTTAATTAGTCAAATTAATAAATTTTACCATTGATTTATAATTTATTTTGAAAGGTATCCAAACTTGCCTTAATTTTACCATTGATTTATAATTTATTTTGAAAGGTATCCAAACTTGCCTTACATGTTGGCCCTTGCGATTCATGGAATAACGTTTTTTAAGAAAAGTTGTATTTCTTAATTTTTAGAAAATTATTTTAAAAAGTATATTGCGACATATGCAATAATAAATAATAATTTTGTTCTACCGTGTTATAAAAACATATTTTAAATAAATATATGTGATTATTTTAGTTAATTGTTCATATATATGTTGATGTGTACAAATGTATGTATGTATATTTTTTAAAAATATGCAAAGTATGCAATGTAATTTAGCTTTATCATGCTATAAAAGAATGTGAAATTCTATGGTACACAAACCATTAGGGTGTGTATCATATGTATCTTCAGTTACGATTTTTGAGTCAATAGTTATGACTTATTGTGTTATTAGTTATGACATACTCTGATATTAGTTATAACAAAATTTTGGTTACGACTTAAAAGTTGTTTGGTTATACATCATGTGATATTTGGTTATAATTTAATCTTTTTTTATGACTTCCATAGTATTTAGTTACACCATTTGTGATTATCAAACTCACAAATGGCAAACGTGGCGTGATGCTAGCATATGATTGGACATGTATATTGGTGTCAACTTAGTTTGTTTCTGTCATATGTAATTATATGCTTGCAATTCATTTTATTTTATTTTATTTTTTGATCGGCAAAAAAGCAACTATATTGATGAAATAGCAAAATACAAAGTACAAGAACATTTACATAAATACAGAGAGGGAAGTGCAAAACCATGAAAACGAGCTAAATCATCCCAACTATGTTGGCACCAAAAAGCTCATCCTATCATTTGCTAGCACTCCAAGTTGGTGAGCAACCAACCAAAGCATAACAGCATATCAGTCCACTACTAAGCAATCCAAGCATATCAGTATGGCAGCCCAAGCATCAACATAGCAATCCACAGCTAAGCAAACAGTCCAACAAAATAGAACCTGAACCAGTAACCCCACAAAAACAAGGCCAGCAGTAGAGCAAACTTGACAGCAGAGCAAGATAAACAGAAACTGAGGCAAAGCAGCAGCAATTCCACACAAACAAGGTTAGCAACAGAGCAAAACTGACAACAGTGCAAACCTAATGAACAAAAGCCTACCAGACACACTAAATACAGCTTCTAACTTAATGTATATTAAACACAGACTCATTCACTGTGAACCTTGCCCAAATAAGTGAGTTTTCTTCCAAGGGGCCACTCTAACTATAATGAGCTTATAGAGATCTTCACAGATAAGATGCAGCCCATTTAACATACACTCATTCCAAAACATTGAGCAAGGGCAACCTCAGAGTATCTGCACACACTAACAAAACTCAAATGCCTACAATACACCCTCTTCCCCTGCACCAAACACCTCAGAACAACAACATATAGCAGAGAACACATTAAGTGAAATACTGAGCATGAGCCCCATAAGTGACTACAACCTTTCCAAAATGAAGCCACAGAGAACACACCTCTACACCAAAAGCCCAACAAGGCAGTCCAACAGCAAAAGCACTAGTGAGCATAACAAAAGAACACACCAAAAACACCCCTACACCAAAAGAACACACCAAAAGCACTACTGAGCATCACATTCCAACAGAACAGAGCCTAGACCTGAACTTGGAGGAATAAATCTGTGTGAGTCCGTCCTTCATATAAAACTGATTCAACTTTCACTTTAAGTCTTTGCAAAGTGTTTGCATAATTCTTGCAGCAGCAACCGAGTAACAGATGAGCAATATCCGCATTTCAGTTCCCCTCCTAGTCTCTCTACAGCAGCACCAAAACATGCACCACACAACAGCATTCAACAGCATACAGCAGCAGACATGCCTCCTAACCCAGACAACCTCTCACAAGACAGCTGAAGCCACTGATACTAATGATATCAGAACCTCAACCACACAATCCAGAATAGCAATCAATCTACGGCAGCATCAAGGTAAGTAACAGAACCAAAACCACGATTGCCCAATCACTTGATACACAACCTGATCTGTTGCACGTTTGAAAAGAACTGATTAATTGAGTAATCTCTTCTCACCAAAGTTGACTTCATCCACATGACTACTCTAACCTTAATGAGATCACAGAGCTCTTCTATATTGGGTTGTACCTTATTGAAGATAACATCATTTTTGTGCTTTCATACTAACCAAAACACTACTAATGGTAGTGTTTTTCAAATCTGTATTTCCCCATTTTTTAAACTTCCATCCATTCCACCACTGAAATAGGCATTCCACAGTGCCAGGAATAGCTCACTGTACTCCCTACTATTTGATGATACTAGACCAGACTTTCCAAACAAAGGGACAGTGTGGCATTATATGATTTAAAGATTCCTCCCCTGTTCTACATAGAACACAGCTTGGACCTATATTAGAATCAACGACCCCAATCTTTTTCAAAAAATCAAATGACTTTATTCTCCCTTTCCAGACCAACCAAGCAAAAAACTGGGATTTTGAAGAAGCATCATTGTTCCAGATTAATCTAGATAAGCTTTTTATAGGACCATAACTCAGCTCACACCAATTATAGGCTGCTTTTACATTGAAACACCCTGAACTTCCCTTCTTCCATATGATGCTGTCCAAAGTGTTCAAACAAAGAGCTGGACCAGATCCTAAACCATCCTTCAAAATTCTCAGTTCCTCCTCTCCCTATACCCTTAAATTCCTTCGAAACCTGAAAATCCAATCAACATAGCTTGCTTTTCTGTCCACTATCTCTTTCAATGTTACCCTTTTATCGATAGAAATACTAAATAGTCTCGGATATTTGTCTGTAAGACAATAACTACCCTTCCATGCATCCTCCCAAAACATAATCCTTCTACCATTCCCAGCTTTGATTTCAACATTCTCCTTAAAAAAATCAAAAAGCTTGGGATTAGATTGTGCCACTGATAAGATATCGCTTCAAATCCTTGTGCAAGTATAATTAGCCATAAAGAAAGGAGACCATTTACCACCCTCAGCTCCATACCGAGAACAAATCAATATCTTCCATAAAGCATTATCTTCAGCCCCAAACCTCCACCACCATTTGGCTAATAAACTTTCATTAACTGATTTAATGTTCCTTACTCCCAAACGTCCAAGTTTCTTGCTCACAGAAGCATCCTTCCATTTCACTAGATGTATCCTTCTCTTCAGATTAGTGCCATCTCAAAGAAAAGTTGATTGCATCTTATTTAGCTCCTTTATAATACCTTGAGGCATCCTAAACAAAGACATGCAGTAGACTGGACGGTTGGATAACACTGATTTAATTATTACCACCTTACCAGCAAAAGAGAGCATTCTTCTTTTCCATCCAGCTAATTTACTTTTGAACTTGTCCACCGCAGGTTTCCAAGTTTGCTTTTTTCTAGGATTAGCCCTTAAGGGAAAACCTAAGTACTTGAAAGGGAGCTTTTGGCTTGTGCAATTTAATCTTGAAGCAAATTCATCCACTATATCCTCTTCAATTCCCACCCCATTGACAACACTTTTATGATAGTTAATCTTAAGACTAGACACTACTTCAAAGCGTCTTAGAATCCTCTTCACATTTGTAACCTCCATCTAGTCAGCTTCACAAAATAAGATTGTGCCATCCGCAAACTGTAAATGAGATAAATTCAGGCCTTCAGCCCCAACCTTAACCTTTCTTATCAATCCAAGTTGTTTGGCTCTTGATAACAACATGTTAAGACCTTCAGCTGCGATGTTCAACAAAAATGGTGAGATTGGATCCCTTTGCCTCAAGCCTTTTTGGGGAAACACTTCCTCAGATGGGGATCCATTAATAAGAAATGAAATTCTAGCAAACATTAAACATGTCCTCATCCAATCCACCCATTTTGTCTCAAACCTAAACTTCCTCAACATATCAA